TCAGACATGACCACGCGAGAGTGAAAACGAGAAGTATTAAGTATGGGAAGCCGTTGGTATAAATGGCTTCTATTATCAATTATAGGCATTGAAGAATATTTGTGGAGATTTCATAGTTTATTTTGTTCAGGTTAGGTTTCAGCTGTTTTATGTATATAGCTTCATGAATTTTTAGTTTTTGTTTATTGTTTTCATGTTTAAGTATAATTGTGTTTACAACGATTTTCCGGAATTGTGGGTGCGTCCAGGCATGTTGTTTTAAGTGCCTAAAAATGTTAGAGTTATTATGTATATTAGTGTGTGCAACTTTTATATTATATCATAAAGAAGTAATTTATACAAAAACTTAATTAGCAATGTTAATGAGATTAATGGCGAAATCACTTCACTAACAATACTTAATGAAACATTAACTTACTAACAATTCCTTGAATAATACGATCCTTATGTTTGAGTTGTATATTTGATAACAATTTAGATTTGTCGAATGTACTTGATTCGTCGATTCCGTCTGACAATTCAAACATACAACTCAAATGCGTATGAAATTGTATATATCGATAACCTATTTTCAACTTTGTGTTTTCATTTTTGCCAGGAAACATCTGAATGTTTATGTGAGCCCTGATCCACCAAACATGCACCCACGCAATGCCTGCTCCTCTTTGAACGTGGCGACCGTGATCTATTATTATTATTATTATTATTATTATTATTATTATTGACTGGAATATTTTTCAAATAAGCGATGGTTTTAGTGGCTTCCAGGCAAAAAGATTTTTCGCGGTGTCAGCGGCCAAGAACGAATATCAATATTCCTTTTTCAAATATGTTTTCCTCCCCAGGATATTTGGGATCGTCGTAAAAAGAATAAAACAAAAAAATAAATAAATAAATAAAACAAAAACAAAAAGAAGCAAATCAAAATCAGAAAAAGAAAAAAGAAAAAAGAAAAAAGAAAAAAGAAAAAAGAAAAATGAAAAAAGAAAAAAAAAACAAAAACAACAAAATGAACAATAAATGAAAAAATTAAATTAAAAACAACTTTCAAAAACAGACATAAATGTTAACGCGGACTCTTATTGGGAGAGGTCAGGACTATAAATATTTTGGCGAGGTAATTTGACGGTACCTCACTGCTGTTAGATAACTAGAACATTTGTATCAGAAAGACTCTATAAATGTTGACTGGTGACTATTTTAAAAAACATATACAGTAGGAGATGAAATAATGGACGTACCCATAGGAAGTCGTTTTTTTTTTTGTATTTTTACCAAGACAAATGAGTAATAGAATTCGTTTATTAATACAGAATATTAATACAGGTGTACATATGTACATTATACAAATAAAAAAAAATGATTTAGTATTTTGTTGGGAAACTTTTGCTTTAATAACGGCCTTTATTCTTTGTGGTTTGCTATAGACTAAATTCCTTAGTAAGGTCATTTTGATTAGTAACGACGAAGTTTGTAGTTTTCGATTTTTTGTAATATATTTCGTTTTTTTTTTTTCAGCAGAAATATGATGTTTATTGATTTGACGTATAGCGAATTCGCCTTGCTTTTAATTATTGTCCATCTGGATGCAGTAAAATACATTGATGTTTTGTTGTATGATACTTTTATTACTGGTATCATGTATTTTTGTTAGAATAATTTTATTTGTTTATCGATGATGCAGTTGGGAAAAATTAAGCACAAAATAAACCCTACTACTACTACTATTAAAATATCACAAGATTACATCGTAAACAGAATGATTTAGTATTGCGTTGGGTAATCTTTTGCCTTAATTCTTCATGGCATGCTATAGACTAAATTCTTTAGCAAGTCAACACCCTTTGCCAGATTTCTACAGCATTCTTTTAATACGCGAAAAAGCACATGTTCTACGTTAATTTTCCTATTACGGACACGCTTGTCCATTATCGCCCAAAGGTTTTCAATTGGGTTAAGGTCAGGACTGTGACTAGGCCACAGGAAGAGTTGCAATTTACCCTCAATGAGCTTCCTCTCTAGATGACGTTTATTCTTTAAGGGATTATGCTTAGGATCGTTATCGTCACTAAACCATTCAAAACATGAGGCAAAAATAACAAACCCAGAGACAAAACACAATAAAAAATCGTTTTTTCTGTATTTTTACCAAGACAAATGAGTAATAGAATTCATTTATTAATACAGGGTATTAATACAGGTGTACATGTGTACATTATACAAATTAAAAATGATTTAGTATTTTGTTGGGAAACTTTTGCTTTAATAACGGCCTTTATTCTTTGTGGTTCGCTATAGACTAAATTCCTTAGTAAGCCAGATTCCTACAGCATTCTTTTAATTGGCGAAAAAGGTCATCTTCTGTGTTAACTTTACTATGACGGGCACGCTTGTCCATTATCGCCCAAATGTTTTCAATTGGGTTATGTCAAGATTATGACTAGGCCACTGGAAGCGTTTCAATTTACCCTCGTCGCGTTTTCTTCTAGATAACGTTTATCCATTAAGGAATTAAGCTTAGGATCGTTATCGCTCCTAAATCATTTTTTATTTTAGATAGATAGATTTGAACAGGCTGTGATAGATACATTTAGAGGCCGTTAGAGATAGATTTGAACATTCCAAATAATAGATAGATACATAACCGATTGAATGCTTAAATAATAAAGTAAATATTTATACAGTACGAGGCAAAAAATATGAACGTGCCCATAGAAAGTCGATTTTTATATTTTTACCAAGACAAGTGAGTAATAGAATTCGTTTATTAATACAGTATATTAATACAGGTGTACATATGTACATTATAAAAACCAAAAAACTATTTAGAATTTTATTGGATAACCTTCTGCTTTAATTACGGCTTTCTTTGTAGTATGCTATAGACTGAATTCTTTAGTAAGAGTCTTGAAAATCGATAACCGAAACGAGAAAATATAGAAGTAAAATAAATTGACCTAAATAAATAAACAAACCAATCCCGATAAAGTTACCGTTAGAAAAAAAACAAATGAAGATAATCAACCCAAATAAACACAAATTAAAAACTGTTTCTGCCAAAATAATAGTTAGAATAAAACTACAACAACCAACCCCCAAACGGAACAAATAGCTTTAATTAAATTCTCAAACCAAAACAAAACTATTAAATAAGTGATATAAACAAATTTTTACTACGTTAATAAAAAACACCGATTAAAAAATAAGTAAAGAAATAAATAAAATAAGAAACAAAAAAATAAAATTAAATAAAAACAAGCAAAATAATTTAACCCAAATAAATAAATAAACGACTTCCGGTAAAGTAACCGCCATAATAGACTACCCACAATGCACCACTGACCCGTATATGTATAAATAGCCGAGAAAAATAACAGCACACGTGGCCTGACGATTGCATATAGCATGAAACGGACTGTCGCCTCTAAGTGTTGACTTCTATGTTCACTTTTATATTTACACACGCTCTATCTCTGATATCGAGCACTTTATCCCATAAATATAGCCGACCTTAAGACTATATTTCTTCATATATATATATATATATATATATATATATATATATATATATATATATATATATCTGTGTGTTTGTGTGTGTGTGTGGGCGAGGAAAGCAGTAAATAGGTTTCCCGACATATTTGAATATTCCCTTCTGTCCTCCGTTTAAGCGTTTTAGTGAATGCTATTGGAATACATGAGTTAAAAAGAGTGAAAAAATATTCTGTCAATATTTCTTTAATAAATTTTATTCTTCGCAAATCATAGACTTGTTTATATTATATAGTCAACTATCTCTTAAACAATGATATATATACTATCCTTCTATTCAACATGTATATATATATATATTGTGTGTGTGTATATATATATATATATATATATATATATATAAATGTGTATAAATATATATATATACAGAGAGAGAGACAGAAAGAGAGAGAGAAAACGTGAGAAAGACAGGCAGAGAGAAGAGAAGAGAAGGAGATAATTTTATGTATAGTATTTAAAAATATATATATATAAAAAGCATCTCCCTTATATCATTTTTCAAATCTCCTAAAGTAGCGATTTAAGTGGAGTGTACGTCACGCTAAGGAAGGACAAGCAAGTGAATGATCTCCCCTGAGTGTAGAACTATTTAATTGTATGGAACAGATATGGAGTATTTCGTTTACGCCCAGATCGGCCATGTTCTCGCATTTCGTAACGTTATTGCCTAAACATGAGAGAAAAAACGGCTCGTTTTTCTCCTAAATTATTTTATGTTTGTTTGTTTTAATTTAGTTCTTTGTTATTTTGGCCAATCTTTTTTTTTATTTTTTGTATTGTCTGCTCTCGAGGAAATGATTTAAAGGTGAACTAAGTCCCCTTGGCATTTTTTATGTCTTCCCTATTTTTTTTTTCTCAGTGTCGTTTACAAGCGACATGCGCTTTTGATTTTTGTCATGTTAATTCTGTATTTTTTTTTTTTTTTTATTTCGTTTAATTTTTTTTTTCATTTGTTTCTTTATTTTATTCCCTTCTCTATCACTTTATTATTACTCTTCGTCTTTTTTTTTTCTGTTATTTCCGGTTTGGGTTGCTGGTATCTTTCCGTTCTTTTGCAATCAGTTGCATATACAGTGTAACCCGGATATAAGAGAGTTGTCGGGACCGGAGAAGAAGTCTCTTATATCCGGGTTTGGTCTATTTTGTTTAGGTAAGTATGGCTTTAATTTGGGACCAGAGAAAATCTCTCTTATATCCGGGTTACACTGTATCAGAATTGTTTTGACACCTCGTCGTGGTGTAATGGTTAGAAAGCTTGTCTTGCTAAATCAATTACGACTAAGTAGTGAGTTCGATCCTCACTGGGTGCCCCATATTTTCGGCCTTGTACTACATCTAAGCCGGGCTTAGAAAATCACTATATCAGAATATTTTTTTTTCTTTCGTTTCTTCATTTTTTTTTTTGCGGGTGGGGGTTGAGCGTTTCTTTCTTTATTTCCAAACTTCAGATGAAGAAAAGACTTAGACTTCTTTCTTTCCGCCATTACATTGTTTTTTTTTTTTTTTTTTTTCCTCTCTTTCTGCATTTTTATTCTCTTACATCGTTCTTTTCGTTCTTCTTTCCTCTCACTTTTTTTTCCTTTGACAGACTTCTTTGTATTCGTCATTTCTTTTTTCAATCATTTTCCTTTTATCATTTCTTTTTCACCCTTTTTCTTTCTTTTGCTTTAAATTCACTTTTCTCTGAATTTTTCTTCTTAATCATCCTTTATTACTGTTCTTTTTTTTTCTTTTCGTCTTCATTTTTTTTTTATATATATTTTTGCTTTCTTTCTTTCTTTTCCAAAATGTTTTTAACTTCTTTCATAGATTTTTGTTTATCTTCTTTCTTGTATTACATTGAGCTACCTAAATTATTTTTGTTCATTTGCTTTCTTCCATATTCTATTTAATAACTTCTATCAATATCTTCTTTCTTTAACTAGCTCGTTTTTTTTTTTCTCTTGGCATTGTGTGTGTTTTTAGACTTATATCTGCATCTTTTTTCTTTATTTCTTTGCGACAGTTCTTTTATTTTCACTTCATTTCTACTCTTTTAAGAATATTTTCTTTTCTAAAACTATTGCTCTATTTCTTATTTTCATCTACATATTTCTGTTTTGTATATTTCTTTCATCTTCTTTTATTTCATTCTTTCAAATTTTTTGTTCTTAATCTATCATTTTTTGCCTTTTTGTTTAAGAGCTTTTTCATCCCTTCATTCTGCGTTTCTTTCTACGTTTCATTCTTTTCTGTATTGTTCTTTTTCTTTCTTTTCTTTATTGTTCGATTCGTTTCCATCACTCCTTTCTTCGTTTCCATCACTCCTCCTCTCTTTGAACTTCTTCATTTTGCGTATCTTTTTTTTTTCTTGCATTCTTTTCTTTCTTTCTTTCTTTCTGTGTTTTGTTGTTCAAACGAATATCCTTTCTACATAATTCTGTTTCTTCTTTTTTTGTTCCTTTTCTCTTCCTTATTTCTATACTTTATCCCTTTCTTTACCTTCAATAATTTTATATATTTTTCCTTTTTACATTTAACGGTTTCTTAATTCCCTTTTCTTCTCCAATTTATTCTTTCGTTTTGCTTTTTATTGTTTTAATTCATGTTGTATTTTCTTTCCTCTTTGGATTCTTTTTTAACATTTTTCGCCTTACATCATTTTTTACCTTTTTTTTTCATTTCTTTTCGTCTTTTCTCGCATTTTCTCCCATTTAAAACATCCATCTCATCTTGCTGCATCATTATAATTTCTTGTCCATTACCTGCAGCCAATTCCATCTAAATGCCTGGAACACTTCCTTGGGGATCTCTCTCATCATTTTCGCGCCATTTTTCCCATCCTTTTCCTTTGCATCCGGAAACTAAACCAATTGAGCATATCCGAAACAAATTCGTACTCAAAACGAAGCAACCCTTGAAATCCAGTCGAAATAAATTAATCCATTTTATTATTTATATTTATTAAACCAAGGCCAAAAGCACGGGCATCCAGTTTGGTTAGATTGGTTGATTTTTGCATGTCAAAATTTTATTCGTTAACACTGGATTTTATGCTGGAGTAACTAGTAAGCAAAGAATGTACTACTAAGTGTCAAAGGTCAGGTAAAAGAGTTCACTAACTATTAACCCATGAAGTGTCGTATACTGGGTATGACGATAAACTACATCCAGCAGCCTCGGAAGATTAGAGTTTTTAAGAAGCGTGGAACCACCTGTTAACTGCCATTGTTCCCAGGTCCATTCTGAGCCGGGGTGGTAGCACTTGTGATTTAAAAAAAAAAAAAAACATAAAAGTATATAGTTACATTTTTATAGCAAAGAAACATCAGCAATACCTTTTTATAGTAAAAATAAATACCAACAATATTTATTCATAGCAAAATGACCAACAATACATTTCAACTGTAGTTGCAGGCATCCCATTGCATTAGAGGTATTTAGATTTCGGCATTAAATAATCCATGGAAGTTGATGTGCCGCTAAACAAATTCAACCAGCCAAACGCAATAGCGTCATTTATTAAGTTTGGTACAAGGCCAAACGTAGCATGGCAGGAGATGAGTTTCGAGCACTCCACTCAGTTGGAGACCTGACCAGACGTGATGGATACACATTAACCAACACAGTCGTCATTTAGAACAAACAAGGCCTCAATTAATGCAGCACACAATGAGGTAGCAATAGTCTGCTAACAACCCACACTTAGTCATCATTTAGTTAGTTTGACCCTAGGCTATAAGTAATCAGGTACTCGAAAGAGATTCGAACTCCCTACTCAGTAGCCAAGGTCACTCAGTCCAGCTTGCAAGGCATTAATCCAAGCACAATCTTTGAGTTTGACTCAAAGCATTACGTAACTGGCATCTATTGAGGTTTGTACCTCCTATTCAGTACTAATTGTTAACGTGGATACCTCACAAGATATTAATCCAAGCCGTTATTTGTGGCTCAAGGCAATAGGTAATGGTTTACCTAACGATGTTTGCATCCCCTACTCGGCACCAGTTGTTAACAAGGTTAACTCCCTAGACATTAATCCATGCTCAATCGTCATTTAGTAAGTTTGACCCAAGGCCATAAATAATGAGGTACCCAGTGAGATTCGAACTCTCTACACAGTAGCCAAGGTCAATCAGTCTAGCTTGCTAGGCATTAATCCAAGCACAGTCGTCATTTAGCAAGTTTCGCTCAGGGCAATAACTGATGGAGGACATAGTGAGGGTGTATCGTTTACTCAGTAGCAATGGTTAATCAGATTATCTCGTTAAATATTACGTCAGGCCGAGGTGCGCAAATTTACTTTATTATTAAGCGTTTTTAATCTTTAATTATTTAAAATTTATAACAAAAATATGAAATAAAATCACTACAAAAATAGCCATTTTGTTTCAACACTTCTGGTGTCTTATCAAGTGATGATGTTGATTGTAGATTGGAGTTATTGAAATTTATTCCGTATATACCAATCATATATATATATATATATATATATATAGTTTTAAGATGTGCTATATGGGATAAAGTACTTAATATCAGAGATAGAGCGTGTGTAAATATAAAAGTGAACGTAGAAGTCAAAACTTAGAGGCGACAGCCTGTTTCATGCTAGATGCAATCGCCAGGCCACTATATACATACATATATATGTGTGTGTATATATATGTATATATCTATATATGTATATACTTATATATGGGTGTATATATATATATATATATATATATATATATATATATATATATATACGTATGTGTCTGTGTATATCTTTGTCTGTATATATACATATACGTTTATATTTACATATATGTGTGTGCATACATATATATATATATATATATAGTCATTTCATCGAAAGCAAGGTAATAAAGCCACTGAGACACAAGGAATTACTGAGTGTTAGAGAGTGTGAAAAGATGAAGAAAGGTACTACGAAGGAAATAGAATAATAAAGGAAGAAGAATTATGAAGACAGAAGATAACGATTGGCATTAAAGTTTCTGAAGATCAAAGTTGACTCGCGAACAAGAAGCCGCAAGAGAGTTCCACAAGTGAGAAGTGCGATAGAAGAAACTGTTAGCATAGAACTTACGGTTGCATTAAGCCATTTCAACTTTAAAATCTTGCGACCTTGCTGCAAATCTAGTACTCCGCTTAGATTCATAAAGGCTAGCTAACATAACTAACTCCGCTAAAATTTCATCAGAACAATTACCTTGAAAGTATTTATAGAAAAGCCTGTGGGAAGGTGACTGAAATCTAAATGCCACGTCACAACCAATAACATTTCAGATTCTTCTTTGGATTTTATCAAGAATTTCTAAATTTATAACAGGAGCAGCGAAACAAATGTGGCGGCAATATTCAATGCATGGACGAATGGTAGACTCATAAATAGATTCTGGAGAGAAACATTGGGTAGGACGACACAGTGAACCAATTTCTTAGCAGTATACTTAGAAATTGATTCAATATAATGTTTCCACTTCATGTCAGCGAAAAATCTTCTTCTGAGGGTGAGCATTAGCCATACTGATGAAGGCTGAAACGTCTGTCAGATGATAGTAGTCTGTTTCTGTTTCTTATTCTATCATTGAGCTGAATACTACAAATTAAATGCAGAAAAAGCATAAGAAACTAATTCAGATACTTAAATTGATTATGGATAGATAATGAAAAGACTGTGATAGATAGATAGATAGATAGATAGATAGATAGATAGATAGATATGAAGGAAATAGCTAGAATAGATAGATAATGAAAAGACTGTGATAGATATGAAAAGAATGAGAGCTATACAGACCTACAGACAGAAAAATATATAGATAGTTCGAAAGAGAGAGCGACGAGTAGATGAATATAGATAGACGCAGAAGCAAACTTTGATAAACAGATAAAAACAGACTGTATATATATATATATATATATATATATATATATATATATATATATATATATATATATGTATAATATATATATATATATATATATATATATATATATATAGAGAGAGAGAGAGAGATGAAAATCACTATGGATAGATAGATAAAAAAGACTGTAGAGATATATATATAAAAAAAAGACTGTATAAATAGATAGATAAAAAAGACACACACACACACACACATATATATATATATATATCTATATATATAATGTGTTTGTGTAAAGAATTTTGCTTACACCGTAAGACTAACTTTCAGCAATCCAATATGGATGATTTTCTGATAGACTTAGTGGCAATGAAGTCAATATAGAATAACTTATAATAAAAAAGCAAAGCACTGAAGCAGGTGACTTGCATTTACTGTTGTTTACCATAGCATTTTATTGTTATTAACCAGAATTAACGTGTCCTGGGTAAGATGATAAACAACATACGGCATCAAGCTCTTTCAAGGGTTCGAGGAGCGGGAAACCATCTGTCAATTACTGATGTTCCCAAGTCCACCCTGACAGGAGTGGTTGTTGTCAGAGTCCCAGCGATGGGCCAATAGTTAACACCAAGAAATACGGGATAAAACACTATGAAATTTTAGAAATAGGTTTTAATACCAGCAATAATTTTTGGAAAATTTCTTATCAGCAGTACATTTTTGAAAAAATATTACCAGAAATACCTTTTTGGAAAAAAATATTACAAGCAATAAAAATCTTGTCGGTATTAAATAAATCATTGAGGTGTTGATATGCCGTAAAACAAAATAATCCATACCAATCTAAACCAAAGAATACATATTCTATTCATACGAATCTATCCTAAAAATGTTGTCGGCATTAAATAACACATTAAGGTGTTGATATGCCGTAAAACAAAATAATCCATACCAATCTAAACCAATCTAAACCAAAGAATACATATTCTATTCATACAAATCTATCCTAAAAATATTGTCGGCATTAAATAACTCATTGAGGTTGATATACCGTAAAAAAAAGCAAACCAAACCAGAATTAACCATAACTATTTAATAAATATCTGAACTGTTGATTAATTGCTTTGTCTTAATTGTTATTGTAAGTAACTGTATAGTCACTTTATTGACAGCTTGTATATAATTAGTTTTGGCAAAGGCTTCTTTTACCTTTAAGTGTAATAACTCACCTAGACCTGTGCGATAATGGCTATGCACAACTTCCTCTCCTTCCTAGCAATATTTGTTCCATTATATGAATTCCAAGTTCCTGTTCTGCCATCTATTGTCAGAAACTCATTGTTTCCTTTAGCCACTCCTGCTTTCAATATGTCCTTGTGAGTGTTAAATTCTTCAAGCCATCTTTCTTCATTGTTTTCCCGATACGTTCACCCGTGTCTCTCAGATTTTAATTAAAAGTATCCTTTTTGTTCTCGTTTTCCCTAAAACTTCCTCATTCTGGACATGTTCCATCCATGTTATTCTCAGCATCTTTCTATAGGATCACGTCTAGATTTTCTCATCTGTGATATTTTCCATATTTCACTGCCATATTGGAGGGTTAATATGACATTGCATTTTGTCAGGTTTTCGTTGTTTCTAAAGTCATTTTTCTATTTCTTAATACTTTTTCTTT